ATAGATAATTTAGTTCATCTTTCAAGACGTTTGAGAGCGGTTTAAAAGGTAGCCTTATTAATCGTCAGCAAATTTAAATGAGGTAAACAATTTTCATTCCTGTCTTTTACCCCCAACTATGTAGTGGAATCGGGTGTGACGGTTAGCAATTTGTAGAAGTCATCATCAGCTTAAATACGACAAATATGATTGTAAGACCTAATTAGTGCCAAAGATCAATTCCTGAAGAGACCAGAAATCCACAACATTTGAGCAAGACTTTGTGCTTATAGCATAATATAATAACAAATAACAACAGTCTAGTGATACCCAGTTTTTCGGTTCAGACGAAGTGCCTCAGTGTATATCTATCGTGATAATGTATTTCATCCTTGAAGAAGTTTGAGAGGTACCCTTATTAATCGTCAGCAGATTTAAAAAAGGTAAACATAATTTTCATTCCTGTCAAATCATAAAACATTTACACTGAAGAAAGAACGTGCTATCCTTAGGCGAACACGGTTCACATATGTCAAGTGTCAAGCGCCATTTTTTGTAAGTGCGGTAGCTAGACATGCGACGTTGCCGGATCCTCACATAAATCGGAGTTTGTCATACAATTTTATAGAGGGCATTAATGCTATATCGAACATTTTATAATGCCATTGTGTGTTATTTATGGTGACACATGCGACGTTGCCGGCTCCTCACATAAATCTGAGTTTGTCATACAATTTTATAGAGGGCATTAATGCTATATCGAAGATTTTATAAGGCCATTGTGTGCTATTGATGGTGACACATGCGACGTTGCCGGCTCCTCACATAAATCTGAGTTTGTCATAAAATTTTATAGAGGGCATTAATGCTATATCGAAGATTTTATAATGCCATTGTGTGTTATTTATGGTGACACATGCGACGTTGCCGGCTCCTCACATAAATCTGAGTTTGTCATACAATTTTATAGAGGGCATTAATGCTATATCGAAGATTTTATAATGCCATTGTGTGCTATTAATGGTGACACATGCGACATTAAAAAATGAAAAATGAATGAATAATGAAAAATGCAAAATGAAAAATGAAAAATGAAATATAAAAAATGAAATATGAAGAATGAAAAATGAAAAACGAAAAATGAAAAACGAAAAACGAAAAACCAAAAACGAAAAACGAAAAACGGACAACGGAAAACGGACAACGGAAAACGGAAACGGAAAACGGAAAACGAAAAATGAAAACTTATAAAAGATGACAGGTACCAGATACCAGATACCAGAAACCAGATACCAGATACCAGACACCAGTTACCAGACACCAGACACCGGATACCAGATACCAGACACCAGATACCAGACACCAGATACCAGATACCAGATACCAGATCCACATACCAGATACTAGATACCAGATACTAGACACCGGATACCAGATACCAGAAACCAGATACCAGATACCAGACACCAGACACCAGATACCAGATACTAGATACCAGACACCAGATACCAGACACCAGATACCAGATAGCAGATACCAGAAACGAGATACCAGATACCAGACACCAGATACCAGATAAAAAGATAACAGATACCAAATACCAGATACCAGATACCACACACCAGATACCAGACACCACATACGAGATACCAGATACCAGATACCAGACACCAGATACCAGATACCAGATACCAGACACCAGATACCAGACACCAGATACCAGACACCAGATACCAGACACCAGATATCAGATACCAGATACTAGACACCAGATACCAGATACCAGATCCACATACCAGATACCAGATACCAGACACCAGACACCAGATACTAGATACCAGACACCAGACACCAGGCACCAGATACCAGATACCAGACACCAGACACCAGATACCAGACACCAGATAGCAGATACCAGAAACGAGATACCAGATACCAAATAAAGAGATAACAGATACCAAATACCAAATACCAGATACCAGACACCAGATACCAGACACCACATACGAGATACCAGATACCAGACACCAGATACCAGATACCAGACACCAGATACCAGACACCAGATACCAGATACCAGATACCAGAAACCAGACACCGGATACCAGACACCAGATATCAGATACCAAATACCAAGTACCAGATACCAGATACCAGATACCTGATACCTGATACCAGACACCAGATACCAGACACCAGACACTAGATACGAGACACCAGATACCAGACACCAGATACTAGACACCAGATACCAGATACCAGATACCTGATACCAGACACCAGATACCAGATACCAAACACCAGACATCAGACACCAGATACCAGACACTAGACAACAGACACCAGATCCCAGACACCAGATCCCAGACACCAGACACCAGATACCAGATACCACACACCAGATACCAGACACCAGATATCAGATACCAGACACCAGATACCAGATAAAGAGATAACAGATACCAAATACCAGATTCCAGATACCACACACCAGACACCAGATACCAGATACCAGACACCAGATACCAGACACCAGACACCAGATACCAGATACCAGACATCAGATACCAGATACCAGACATCGGATACCAGATACCAGATACCAGACACCAGATACCAAATACCAGATACCAGATACCTGAAACCAGATACCTGATACCAGATACCAGATAAAGAGATAACAGATACCAAATACCAAATACCAGACACCAGATACCAGATACCAGACATCAGATACCAGACACCGGATACCAGATACCAGATACCAGACACCAGATACCAAATACCAGATACCAGATACCTGATACCAGATACCAGATCAAAGATGCCAAAGGATAAAAAATGATTAGAGATAGGGATAAAGTTATCGCTAGCATTGCATTAGCATACCAGCAACTGCGCTACGTGAGGTTTTAAATAAAGACATCAACGTGCAATATTTTGCATAGCGTTAGCGTGCCAGCAACTGCGCTAGTTATTATATTATATTATGTTTAATTTTTTGGTCGGTGTTTACAAATTTATGGCAGTGAGTGATACTGTGTAAGAAATAAAGCTGTCTTATATCATACATTCGAACATCTGCATATAATTTTTCAGTGGGATAAAGTTTCGATTTTTTAAATATCATTTTTAGAATACTTTTTTGAAAAACATCTAAATTATAGATATGTGAGGAACATGCAGCTCCCCATGCTAATATACCACATGTGAGATGAGGCTCAATCAGTGCATGGTATAATGTTTGAAGATATTTTTCTGTCAATATATTCCCAAGGTATTTAATTTTGTAGGATACAAATCTAACTTTCTTTAAAATATAATTGACATGGATGTCCCATCGTAAGTGAGGATCCAAGACCACTCCAAGGTATTTTATGTTGGGCACTCTATTAATTTGCATTTTTTGATCATTAATATTGAAGGAGAAATTTTTGTAATTTGGCAGATGTCTAGCATAAGATCCAAATGGTAAAAAATGTGTTTTAGAGTAGTTAATGCTTAATTTTTTACTGTTAAACCACCGAATAATTTTGATAAAATCATTTTCAATTACATTTTTCAGATCAGACCAGTCAGTGCCTTCATATAATATTGCAGTATCATCTGCAAAACTAGTTATTTTGCCAACACAATTAATTTGGAAAATATCATTTAAATATATATTGAATAACAGCGGACCTAAGACAGTTCCTTGTGGGACACCACACTTAATATACATTTCTTTACTAAATGATCCTGATATCTGAACAGATTGTGGGCTATTTGACAAATAACTTTCGATCAGTGAGTACGCGTTTCCTCTGAAACCAATTCTCTCCAATGCTTCTAATAATAATTTGTGATTAACTGTGTCGAAAGCTTTCTTTAAATCAACAAAAATGCAGATTGAAGGGATTCTGTTATCAATATTTTGATATATTTGATTTACAATTTTAGTTATTGCGTCCGATGTAGCCTTCCCTTCTGTAAATCCATATTGATTTTCACTTAAAATTTTGAATTTTGTGAGGTATCGAATTATTCTAGTAGATAAAACGTTTTCAAAAACCTTTGCTACACTGGATATTATTGATATTGGTCTATAGTTGTTAACATCTGTTTTTGTTCCTGATTTATGTATCGGTATTATATTACCTTTTTTTAAAATTGAGGGATATATGCCAGATTCAAAGCATTTGTTGATTAGGTAAGTGAGTGGTTCTGTTATGTCCTCGGCTATAATTTTCAAATGCTCGCTTTTAATACCATCGAACCCAGGACTTTTCCGATTTTTTAAGGACATATAGGTGATTACTTCACCAGCCAGGGATTTTCTTTTACTTATCTCTCCCAATTTTTAAATTCAGCAAATTTGCATACATTTCCAGTATAAATAAGAAAAAGTGGATATGCAACTAATTTCTAGCTTTGTCAAGTAAGTGTATTTGATGCAAGAAACCGATGGAATTATCTACAAGATGGTAACTCAGCACAAGCTGTTGAGAACTCGTTTTGTAGCTGTACGTGATGCCTAAAGGACAGCGAACAACGAACGTGAAATTAACTATTTGCACACTAAAAACTGCCAAGTCTGCATAATGACATTTTGTCGTTTTTTTTTTGTAATATCATCATAGTGCTATTGAAAAAATAAATAGAGGTGCTGGTTTTTCAAGGTACAACATGAAGCATGAAAAAGTAAATATAACTTCATAGCAGAAAAGAAAATGCCCAAATTAAGAAATCTGAAGTATGAAAGCTATAACTTTTAATTTAAAGTATTGCACGACACCTTGGCCCTTTGACACATTTTACAAAAAACACTTCATGCACTATATGTACGGTCTCATATACCTTTTGCATTTAATCTGCTTAAAATACAAGAAATACAGTTCTTGCAAATTGAAGCATACCTATTATATTGTTTGAAGAAAAAAAACGTATTCACTTACTTGTGCAGCCATTTTATTATGTGTAGGACATTTGGTTAGTCAATAATATTCATAAGCTGCGCTTAGCCATCAGTTCTTTGGCAATACATTAAAATGTTGAAATACAAATGTCTCAAAGCGGATCTGTTCAATAGAAATGAATGGTTTTAATAAAAGTTATCGCTGTGTCAACTTTTATTAAAACTACTAGCCAAAATGATTGTGGCCTGTGAATAAGGCCCTCCACATAATATGCATAAAAATACAATATAATGGCTTTCTCCATCCTCAGAAACGTCCGATTCTCAATGTTTATTCTGATATTATTATAGAGGAAAATTGGTTTTGATAATTACACGTTAACAAGCGTCCTCTAACTAAGGCATACTAGGACCCAACATATTGATTATGGACAACCCTGTAATAAAAAATAAATAATAAAACCGATCAGAATAAAAAATTTTACCTGACGCCGAAATGAGTGTCATTTTGTGCTACCACTGCCTTGCGTTGTGTGTCGACATTTTTATTTAGATCTATTTACTAAAGCTGTTTTGTGTTCGTAGTTCAATTGCCTCTGTAAAATCAAGAAAGCTGTTAACATAACAGCTGGCTGTTATTACAAAAGTGAACACTACCTTTATATTTCTTCTGACGATGGTCAAGCTGTAAGGTGCTAATTAAAAACTTGACGGTTTGTAATTTGCCTTTTATGCCAACGAAATGACAAATAATTATGTGTACATGAGTATAAAGAGAGCTTCGTTTGAATAGTTTCTAATTAGTCATCAATATTTAATTGATGCCGGAAAGTTGTAATGGTTATAAAAGCATAGTTATCAACACCTTACAGCTCAAAGCACGCCAAGTTGCTGACTGAAAGAAATCGCCGCTTTAACATATAATCATAGAGAAGTAGTAAAAACGCGAAAACCTCTGATTCCGGAGAAGCCAAACAGACTTTTAAGATTTGTAGGTAAATGTGTTTATAGTGCTTTTTAAGAGGTGCCCAACTCACTTATTCCTTGAGCGAATCAAGCTATAAGATGAAATTCAGGGTGAAGAGATTGATGCAAAACACCATGTTTTGAGGAAAAAGTGATAATTAAACATTTCAAGATGGCGACTAGACGCTGTCTTTGTCATTACAGAGGCCAGGTAATCTCTCACTTTGAAATTCTTTACCCTTGACCCTGGAGTACAAACTTATTCTCTCTCAAAATGGGGGATTCGCTGGCTGCCAAAGATGAGCTTTGTCGTATATTAAATCTCTTATCTCGATAGTATGTTAAATCAATTTTTTTGAAGAGTCTATCCGAATATGCGTTCACTTCGTTAAAAAGATGCATTTTTACAGTTTTGAATGGAGTGTTCTATAAATGTGTTTCATAAGTCACCTATTCACTCAGATCCTTCCAAGAGAAGAATATTGATATAATATACCGTAGCACCGTTGCATTTTGATGATTGCTTGTTGAATTACAAACGATTCAATATAAGCAAGCGCTCAAATATGGTAGTCTACCAATCCTCCACTTTTGGTTTCGGTAACTTTATATCCTAGGGCTATAAATATATATAACGATGTTCAACATTCCACTTGTAAAATGATCTAAGATCGCGCCCGTTCACGTTATTGGAATTTTCAACTGGTGATTTTACTCTAAAATATATTACTTATGCACTAAATTCATCACCCTAAATTTAAGCTTGCTAAGCTCAAAAAAATAGGTTGAGGTATATATAATAAGTTCTTAAAAAGCGGCGTATATTTGATAAAAGTCTATATATTAACTTTATTTACTTTTAATTTCTTTCAATCTATCAATCTGTTATATACTCGTATATGATTATTTAGGTTTATAATCCAGAAGTTGGAATAACTTATCAAAACGAACTATAAAATATATATATGTACATATAGAAAATTAGGCATTTTATAGTTTCGTTGCAGGGTTTAAAGTTTATTCTCCAAGACACGTTTTGTTTAACTGCTCAATCGACAGGCATTAAGAAGTTTAATCTGCATTGGTTATATTCGGATCAATATCCTAGAGGCAGAGCAATTAATTTTCATCTGGTTTCTTTGCAAGTATATCCTCTAAGAAAAATTTACAGATACGACTACAGGTAAGAAATGTTATGAGTTTGAGGCTAGAGAAATTAACCAAATGATAAAAATCGCAAAAAGAATATGTGGGATTATTGATTCTCCTAGAACCTAGAGAGTGTTGTTCACAAATTGCTTATTTCTACTAATTTTGGTTATGCTCTAAAATTGTTTATCTTGTAGTAAACGAAAACATTTTTTTTCTGCTAAAATATGTTTAACTGAGTGGAATATAGTTAACACAAACTGAATCCTTATATGCTTGTTGTCGATTTAGACAATTTGATCAAAATTACTCAAGTTCCGTATAATTAAAGAAGTATTTGCCAAAGATAAACCACTTTGAAATAAGGACGTTAAGTACAAATGTTTGTTTGAACCATTTTTAGCACACAAAATTAAACAAAGATAATTAAAATCAATTGTACACAAAATTAACACAGAAAATAGAATAAATACAGGGTGGTCCATAAGTCCTTTGAAATTTCAAATTTGAATAAAATTTAATGGGTGAGCGTGAGCGGCGCGGGCGAGGTGGGGGCAGTATCTTCAGTGTCTGGGAATTCAGTCGCCATGGAGTGTTTCACTGGAGCGGATCGTGCTTTTTGTGTGCGCGCGTTTTATCAAAATAATGATTCGGCAACCATTGCGCGGCGTAAATATCGAGAATACCACAATTTACACAATTTTACAAAGTGTCCAACAGCTCAAACGATTAGGAACTGGGTTGCTAGGTTCGAAGAGACTGGTTCGACGTTAGATAAACAGCGGTGGGGTCGACCAAGGACAACTCGTATTGAAGAAAACATCAACATTGTGGCACAGTCTGTTCGTCAAAATCCTACCCAGTCTACTCGTAAGCGTTCCAGTGCACTAAACGTACCCAGAACATCTTTACAGCGGATTTTAAGGAAAGATTTACGTCTGCACGCTTACAAAATTCAGCTAGTGCAGGAATTAAAAGATAATGACGCTATTCAGAGACTAAACTTTGCGAATGAAATGTTGAATCGATTTTCTTCGCTCAATAATGTGTTGTTCTCGGACGAGGCTCACTTCCATTTAAATGGGCATGTAAATAAACAAAATGCCGTTATTGGAGCCCCGAAAATCCAAGGCGTAAGCATCAGAAGCCCTTACACAGCCCTAAAGTTACAGTTTGGGCTGCTATGTCAGCGCATGGCATCGTAGGCCCTTAGTTTTTTGAGGACGACAGAGGTCACGCATTAACTGTTACTTCGGAGCGGTATGTAGCAATGATAGAAGAGTTTTTGACACCAGCGTTGCAGAATTTTCCAGGCTATAATACGCAGACCTGGTTTCAACAGGACGGAGCAACTGCCCACACCTCCAACACTTCTATGCCCGTCGTCTGTCAACTTTTTCCCAGCAAAGTAATTTCTCGAAGAGGAGACATTTCCTGGCCACCACGTAGTCCAGATTTGACCCCAATGGACTTCTTTTTATGGGGCTACCTCAAGAGTAAAGTGTACGACACCACTCCGCGATCAGTTGATGTCCTGAAAGAAAATATCCGAAGAGAAATGGCAACCATTACAGTGTTGACTTGCCGCGCAGTCATCGACAATTTTAGACGTCGTTTGTATGAGTGCCGTGATCGTAATGGATTGCATTTAGACGATGTGATTTTTAAAACATAATTCCCATTCAATAAAGATGATAACAAAATATAATAATTCTTCATAATGTAACTAGTTTGGTTCTATTCCTTTTTTTCCAGCTCAAAGAACTTATTCCAGTAATATTTGCATTATCGCTGATATCAATTTCTAACTGAACAAGCTATCAATTTCTGCATGCTCTCGTCTATCGTCAAAGTACAAGGTAAGTCAATATGCATATTTGCCGTGTTTTCTATGTAAATATGCTTAGAGTGAGGACTTGTGGTTATAAACTTTGGTGGCATTCCCTTAGTTTACTCTCTATGCTGCAGCATACGAGGTATTATCGGTGCTGTTTGTTGGATGTTACATATAAAACACGAATATTGAGGTTGCTCTTCCCGTAACATGATTGTATAATCTCAATAGAACGTGGTATATAGGGTGCTTCATAATAGGCGCGTCAAAAGAAACACCAGACTAAGCTCGTGAAAATGATGATGTTTTGATCCAATATGGCTTAGTAAAAAGTCCCTCGTTAAGGGAAGACTATATATGAGACTGACGAGGCTAACTGATCGAATATGCAGTTTGAGATTATTAAAAATTTTAATTTCAAAAGTCCCAGTTCTCGCGGTTGATATAGCGAAGAGCAAATGCATGCCTCGATAAGTCAAATGAGCAACTTCAGGTTTGAAAAAAATAATCAATTTCAGGCAAATATTTTTCTTTCGTTACTGAACCTATGATATAATATTTTGAGAATACATTCTTTTTTCAAAAAGTTGTACAGTGCTTTTCAGAAAGTTCCCCCTACTTCCTTATTTAACAGGTCAAATTGTCGAGCTGTATTTGACGGTAATAAGATTGATGAATATTTGGTATAAATATCAAGAGACTTCTGATCACCGTAATATACGTATATCGCACCTGTCAGACGTATTAGTTACACATATTTCTGATGTATGCAAGTAGAAATAATGTCCTATTTACGAAAAATATAATAATTCTTCATAATGTAACTAGTTTGGTTCTATTCCTTTTTTCCAGCTCAAAGAACTTATGGGCCACCCTGTATAAATCCTAAAAGTCTATTCCCTGGGTTCCGAAATATAAGCCTAAAGGAATTCCAGTAATATTTGCATTATCGCTGATATCAATTTCTAACTGAACAAGCTATCAATTTCTGCATGCTCTCGTCTATCGTCAAAGTACAAGGTAAGTCAATATGCATATTTGCCGTGTTTTCTATGTAAATATGCTTAGAGTGAGGACTTGTGGTTATAAACTTTGGTGGCATTCCCTTAGTTTACTCTCTATGCTGCAGCATACGAGGTATTATCGGTGCTGTTTGTTGGATGTTACATATAAAACACGAATATTGAGGTTGCTCTTCCCGTAACATGATTGTATAATCTCAATAGAACGTGGTATATAGGGTGCTTCATAATAGGCGCGTCAAAAGAAACACCAGACTAAGCTCGTGAAAATGATGATGTTTTGATCCAATATGGCTTAGTAAAAAGTCTCTCGTTAAGGAAAGACTATATATGAGACTGACGAGGCTAACTGATCGAATATGCAGTTTGAGATTATTAAAAATTTTAATTTCAAAAGTCCCAGTTCTCGCGGTTGATATAGCGAAGAGCAAATGCATGCCTCGATAAGTCAAATGAGCAACTTCACGTTTGAAAAAAATAATCAATTTCAGGCAAATATTTTTCTTTCGTTACTGAACCTATGATATAATATTTTGAGAATACATTCTTTTTTCAAAAAGTTGTACAGTGCTTTTCAGAAAGTTCCCCCTACTTCCTTATTTAACAGGTCAAATTGTCGAGCTGTATTTGACGGTAATAAGATTGATGAATATTTGGTATAAATATCAAGAGACTTCTGATCACCGTAATATATCGCACCTGTCAGACGTATTAGTTACACATATTTCTGATGTATGCAAGTAGAAATAATGTCCTATTTACGAATTTGGTGAAGGCGCATGCATTCATTGGGAAACTACATGCCTCTCAAATTTTGACCCAATTTGAGACTTCTGGATACACTTAGCCATTCTTTTTTTGTTATACATGTGTAGTTAACTAACGAATTCGAAAAAATTAGAAGGAGCCTACATGTTTACATTGCATTATCTGTCACCAAAATTGTGCAGTTTTAGTATGTACTTTTGGCTCATTTCGCAGCGCTGACAAATTTTTTTTATAAAAAACAAGTCATTTTTTTTGTTTTAAACTGTTTGTTTTTTGTTTAAAACATTCAAATTTAGCTGAAAAAAAAATGTTTAAAAAACTGTTAATACATGTTAAAAACAGTAAAAAAAAATAAAAAACAATTGCCTATATAATCTAGCAACGTTGATGAAGTTCCTTAAAAATGTTATTACTATTTTTGATCCAGCTTGATCAGAACACATCTCTAATTTAAAAGCGGACGTCAGGAAACTACCGTGCGGACGTCGAGGAAGTACCGTTTGCCTTTGGGTAATTTTTCGCATTGCGATCTCCAGCAGTCAAATGTGCGAAGTCGTAGCGTGGTGGTGTGTTTTGTTTTTTGTGCATTAAATATCGGCAAAAAAAGAAAGGCAATTACTGGAAGGAGAAAGGATGCCGTGTGGAAATGTTTTAAGGAGACTGATGCCAAAGCTGGCTCGAAAATAAATAAAAGAGCAAAATGATTAACCTGCAGTATGGATATAGTGCTACTGGTGGCTATAATGCGCAAGCATATTAAAAATTGTAAACCACTCAAACAACGAAGTTTGTTAGAAAAACAAAATATCCATATATCAGATACCGACAATGATGTTTCTACCGAACCTATTCCCTCAAAGTTAAGTAGCTTGGAAAGTTGTGAAAGAGGTAAGAAATACCTGATTGCTGTTAAATGCTGTTTAAATATGTTAAATATATAAGAAATAAGAACAAAACAGGTCCGTATTAAGGCTCGGTATATATTTTTTGTTATGTACAAGCAAATTTCTGTTAATCAATTGCATTGAATTTTTAGATATTAATACAATTATCGCATAGGTATACTTTATCTTTTAGATGACTCATCACAGACATACTACACTAATAGCAATGTTATTAGTGCTTCCAGTTCAGGGTCATCCACTTTGTCGCTATTGACGAGAAAACAAGAAGATAGAGATGATGTCCAACTTAAATCGCGACTGGATTCATTCATTGTCAAAACAACAGTAGCGAGAAGAAAAAAAATGATATCCATGTAGCACGTTCTGTTTATGCCAAAAACTGTGCTTTTAGAGTTGTGGAACACCCCGAGTTTAAGCGGCTAATGGAAATGTTGCGTCCAGGATATCAGCCATCTAATCGTCAGCAAATAGGAAACGAACTTCTTATAGACAACTTTACAAGTAGAAAAAAAAGGAATTAGGTAATAAATCAGTATGCATGTCTGTTGATGGTTGGAGCAATATTAGAAATGATATTCAAGAAGGTAAAGTATATTTAATTGTCACTGTCGACACTGAAGACAAAAAATGTATTAGTGGAGTCTCTAAGGCGTTGTTACACAGATTATAATTGTACTGTCAGAAGTGTTGAGACAGACAATTCTGGAAATATGTATGACCAAGAGACGTGCAGAACTAGCAAAATGCGATAGAGCAGATCTAGCTGCACACATTTTAAATTTATTTGCACAAGATATTCAGGTGCCCACTTTAAAAGAACACATAAGGAAATTAATAAAGTACTTTGTAAATGTACATTTCGCAGCAGGCAAATATAAAATACCTGGGGGAAAAGCTCTCGCGATGCCACAAGATGTTAGATGGAACACTTTAGCTGACTCTATTGAATGTTATCTAGAGAACTGGCACTTATTATCAAAAATTTGTTCAGAAAACCGAGCTTCTATTGATATTCCTTTCTCGGAAAAAAATAATGATTTAATTTTAAAAATAAGTGCCCAGGAATGTGGTATTTAGTAAAGTTAAAACAAATAGCAATTGCCCTAGATAAGATTCAACGAGATAACTGTACAATTAGTGAAAGCAAAGAAATTTGGATGGACCTACTTGCATTTTTAAAGAAAATGAAAATTGCACTCATTCAGATAGAAATCATTTTGTGAAAAGGTTTCATATGGCTATGTCTCCAGCACACCATCTGGCAAATATATATCATCGATTCCAAGGACTTAAATTGAATCTAGAGCAACGCGAAGAAGATCCTGAATATCTCTCTCATTATTATCCTGAAGCGATGCCTTTATTATAAGTTATCATGCAAAAATATCACCATTTAAGGATTATTTATTTAAAAACAATTTGAAAGACCTCTCACAACTTGTTTCGTGGAAGTCCTTGAAAGCTGGCTTAAATGAAGTTACAGTCGACCTAGTTCAGCAGCTTCATACAGCAGCTGCTTCATCTGCTGGGCTTGAGCATATTTTTCCCTCATTTGGGATAATCCACACCGAACTTCGTAATAAATTGGACACAGAAAAAGCGGCAAAATTAGTCACAGTATTTAAACACCTAAATCAAAACGTCTAAAAGTAGACATTACGTTACATTTTTTTACTTGGAGTTCCGTAAAAAGTAGTGAAAACTTTATTCTATGTACATTTTCCATGATTTTATATTCTAAAAATATGGATTTTTTTATTTGTTGTTAAATAAGATAGGTTGTATACTTTTATAGAAATTTGGTAAGTAATTTATTTAATTTTATTATACAAGTAAATACATAGACATATTATATGATTATTCTGCAGCTTGTAATGTAATAGAGTTCAATGCAGTTTATTAAGTTCACTCGTTCGTTTCCACTACTATTAGTTCCCTAGTTTCATGTTTGATTAATTAATGAAAAATAAAGTATATTTTTGAGTACCTATGTTTTTTAACTTATGGCCCTTTTAGTTTCGTGTTGCAAAATAAAACCAATTTTAATCATACTTAAAAAAATATAGAAAAAAACTTGAATTATTCACAAACGACAAAAAAACAGTGTTTGAAACATGTTTTAAACATAACTTCATTAGTCTTGTGCTACTCTTTGCAAAGGGGGCATCAGCGGTGGCGGCAGTAATGTAAACTCTTCGGTCTCCTGATCAGTCGCCGTGCGCTGTGCGGGTTCGAATCCCGTCCCAGGAGAATTTTTTCTCTTGGTTATGGGTGTTGTGATTATCCGTAGGTGGTAGACGGTCTCTAACTGTCGAACGCGGAGGTACCACCTGGCGGATCTGGTAGGCCGGGCCAGAATGTGTGCATGTTGCATGCACACGTGTTCCTTCGTAAGAGTCCGTATGGCGTTCCCCCTTTCCCCTGTATCCCCCTATAGCCGCACGGTACGCCATGGGTGTTTAGGTCTAAGACCTTCGTGGTGGTTGGAGTATAAAAAAACTGTGTACGTCTTGAAATCGTCTTACACCACAAATATCTGCAAACACTCGCTTTTTTAATGAATAACATCAAGGCTACGAATTTAATGACAGAACTGTCAATAAATTAACTTATGTCAAGTGCACTTTGATCCTCACTATAGATTATATTCTTAAGGAGACAAACAATTCATTGACTCGTTCCTTCTACTTAGTCTGAATTCGTTGACTACAACAGATTACTCCATGTCATGTGAATACAAATAAAAAAATAGTTCATACTGCATGAGGTCTGGAAATATACCGAACATAATCTAGTTAAATTGTGCGTCAAGTACAGAGTCATTCACCTAGACGCCATTTTTTAAGAAATCCATTGCTTGTTTCAGATTATCGTGAAAACATATATATCCTATGCAGCATCATGGCTCACTATAATATTAGACAGTGTTTAAAGTTTCTGACAATAGTTGGTTGCAACCCAGGAATTCAAAATAGTAGACTTCAACTGGTTTTGTATGTTTTTTCTACCAGTGGATCAGCAATCATAATTTTACTAGCGATATTGCTGTTTTTTTGCTCCGAGGATGCTCTCACCATCGAAGACATTGCCAACATATTTTCTACTATTATCGCGTTTGTTTATGTGAGTATTATTTTTGATAACAGTGCCCATACATTAAGGAAGTAAGTTAAGATGTAAAAAGTAGGTACGTCAGCAAACGATATACCAGTAGCTTTAAATACCTGAGCTTAATATCTTGACATTTTCTGCACCTAGATGTTTGTTCGGGATAATACCACATACGTGTGCTGATTTATATGCCCAGCCCCCAACCTGCTACATTTAATTTATATTTTTTATGTTTCTCCACAATCCCTACTGAATGATTTTATTTTTTATTTACCTTCTATGTTTACAATTGTTTTGTTATATCCACGATCCTTTCCATATATTTTATAAAGTGCACATCACCTGTAGTGAACAGTAGTTAGCGTTTAGGCGTAGTCTTGGTCTACGCTTCAATGTAAACAATGCGTGGACATAATAATATGCACGTACCATGTTTTTTTTTAAAACAGCCATGCCTAAAAAAAGCCTAATACAATCCTGCAGCTTGATCAGATCAAATGTGAACACGTACGATGCGCACCGTACCCAGGTGCTGGCCGCATTTTTAAACAATACCTTCACACATCCGTTCTAAAGAAAAACAAAAATGACATACCCATAAAGCGATATCGGAGCTGTCGATATTATTTCAATTTACGATGACCGTCTCCGAAATGCTACCGAGACTTCGCGAGTGCATGCAGATCGTTCTTCAAGATATTTCGGTTTTTTTATTTGTCAGATAAAACCAAGTATTAATGGTTGCTTAGGAAAAAGAATCATAAATTAGAAGTTCTTTATAGCCATAGCAGTCAAAAAAGGAGCAAAAAGTGGGGCTTTTTGAAAAAACTTAAAAGTGGCAATATCTCGAAAACTAGAAAACTTTTACCACTTCTATGTCACTCTGGCATGTTATTTCTGGGACATCTGTAAAGATATACATGATGCATAGACTGAGTCCATCACGGCTTCTAAATCCTGACAATCAAAATACTGTGATGAACAAACTAGTTTTAATTCCCGTTTGGAATCATGCGAGCTTTTAAGTTCAAATTCGGGAACTTGAACTACTAAGCTTTATTTTCGAAACTAAAGTTTTTCCGGTGACTGAAGTAATATGGGTCAGGGGCAATTGAATCCTTGAATCATATGGACAAGCTGAATAAGATATTCATAAATCAATTGCTTCATTACTTTTGAAATATACAATTTAACCAGAATTAGAAAGGGAAGCAAATATTCCCAAATACATGTCGTTAGCTCAATCAGGTGGTAAACATTGCGTTAGCCTCGACAGTGATTCCGCTGGAGGCAGTAACGTAACGTAACGATTTAATCGAGCATGTCAGATAGGTAAACGTATAGTGTATTTCGGCGTTAAAAAGGGATTTGAAAAATAGCAGCGTCATCTATGGACCTAACAGAACACAAAAATGAATCTAGAAATCTGCTTTGTAAATAGATGGCGCGAGTACCTCCAATCGCTATATGAGGCCTCTCTAAATTTTTATTGGGTATCTTTAATTACTAATTCATCCACCTGAAGGTATCAAAAAAATAAGCATTAGATAGATCAGAAAGGGCTTAAAGATCCTAGCCTCATCTATAAAACAGTAGGAAAAACAAACACTGTAACTCTTTTCGAAGTAGACTCCTACGTTCAGTTTTGATTTCTGCTAGTGTGTCATAGATGGAACTACTAACTACTATCAGATCCTTCATGGACGCCGAAGGTCATTGAATAGTTGAAACGTTCAACAAATAATGAGAGACCCTTAAAAAAGCACTGTAGGAGTATTTATCAACAATTAGCTAAATATTATTTTTCATCGAAATCAGTTAAACACACTCTCGCTATTATTTTGATTCCGGTAATCGTATACAAATCAATGAATTTTGTGATACACACTTAATTTTATGGGACTATGAATGTGATTTTAAAAGTAGCTGAGACGTCAGACCAGTTGACAAAATACCCTACACATTGTTTTGTCAATGATTTTACTGAATATTATTATAATGATTATTCGCTACTGTTTTAGGTGATTTCCAAACTCACCATGATGTACACAAAGAAACGTGAAGTCCAAGATATGCTAATAAAAGTTGATAAGTCATTCTGGAAGATTGACGACACGGTGAATCCAATGGAAAGGCAAACGTACTTGAAAATTACAAAGGAAACAAGGCAAATGTTTCATTTGCTAGTATTTCTATTCATGTTCTGGTTGTTTAGTACGTTTGGAATATACAGTACCCCGATGGAGTCTTACAGGTACCTTAACTGATATAAAACCATCGAATTGGTCTTCACAGAGAGATTACTGCATCATTATAGAAGTTTTCTATAAAGATTCATTAACATATCTCATCAGAAGATACCCAAGCAAAATTTAAAGTTTACATACGCTTACAACCATATTTTTGTCGATCAATGTACATAGTGTTGCCAGGAATGGTGGTTCTCTTTTCGGTAGACGTAATAAAATAAATGGTTAATTTATGTAATAAAGCGTTACAAGTTATTTTAGCAACAAAGTTTGGTCAAATCAATCGCAAAGTATGTACTAAATTCCTATTTAAAATAAGTACGAGATATTTCCTTATCTTTCTTCAAGAAATTACTTTTATGCCACAAAAAACGCTCCAATAGGTATTTTCAACAACAAAATGATAAACAAACCATGGTCGTAGTGAAGACAAACATTTACTTATTAAGCAAATTCTTTTAGTCAAATTTCTTCTGAAAGTAGTACAAACTAATCTGATGTACCTATTAAAGTCTACTTTAAGCTTTAAATCAATAAATCTTCAAAACTACTGAACTGAAGCTCATGTATTTTACATCATTATAAAGGGAATTGAAATACCTTTAAAATAAGGTATCACTCGACCCCCCTTTCCATTTAAGATTTTAGGGTTGGTGTCACCCCCGCCCAGGGGGCTGCACGTGTTAACGTGATTTTTTGCCAAACTTGTGTCCCCCTCGAAAACAAAATCGACGGGTCTGAGCGTTTTTCAAAAAAAAAACTGAGCTGTCAGTAAATGCGTCTGTTTCGTTTTCGATGCGCCACCCTGTATAACTGACACAGGACTGTGTGAAGTGACTAGTAGCAAGAACCTTATTAGTACTTTAACATAGAGTAAAATGCTTGTTAGAATTCCGAGTCATTGGATCTAAGTTGTTCGGGGAAAGGTTTGCAGAGAATCTTTTACTTTTACTTTAAAATATGTTTCATCTGTGCAATCAATTTTAAATTAATTACCAATCATTTTTTGTAGGCCACCTTGGATTCCTCTAACCCCGTTAATTGCATTTGAAAACGTATTCTGCGTCCTACTGGTTATCACCATAATCACCATAGACGTACTTATCATGACAATAGTTATCTTGACTACCATTCAATTCAAGATGGTTAGTGCAGAGGTAACAAAACTGTTCACAGATACTTCTGAAATGCGATATACGCAGAATACTTTCAATCAAAAGCTGAAAAAGTTGATTGACCATCATAACTTTCTGCTACAGTAAGTTTCACACCTCAATCGATGTTCATTACTAAGTAGTGTTATCGCACTCTAATGCCCCTTACGGTTTTGATTATAGACGGTGATTAAGTACTTCATAAATTGAACAGGGCTTTGCCGTTTTGAATACACTATATAAGGATTTTTTCGCGAGTCCACGGTGTAGCACAGTGCACTATCGGGAACAGATACTTAAATTTTCGCGAAGAACGGGAATAGGGGAAGACGGATGTGACGTCGTCGGAATGTCAAAAAATCACGCGGTACGGGTACCCGCTTAACGTCTGTGAAGTACTAGCGCGTGACAGGTCTTATGTTAATTTCATTTAAAACACAGGCATCTCAATTGAAAATTTGTCTTGGCAGTGCCGAAAATTGAGTTAAATTATTACATTGCACAAAAAACTATCGGTCGTTTTAGTTCAGATTCAAACAAGGCAGCTAAGTGTATCAAGGAGATTAAAGCAAACATTTTGCGCAACATGCGCCATCTGACCACTCCCGGTGTAACTTGAAACTGTCAAAACTTTGAGAGGAAGGGGAAATTCCATCTGTTCCCGCTCCGGTTCACTACGGGATCTCGCGAAAAAATCTCTTAAGAACGGTTGAACAGGGGCTGACTTAGGAATTTGTCTATGGTAGGCACCTAAGTAGCGCTTCTAAGAGCAAATGTTCTTGTGACAGTTGAAGAGCGGGGAAGGGGAGGGGGCGCCGGTCTTACAATTCAAGGTAATTTTCATACCAAGCTACAGTTTATCTTTTCATTTTTTTGAAATAAGTAGAAGACTTGGAATCTGGGTAGGCGGCGCCCCCTTTGCAACATCGCAATCTGCGCTTGATACTAAGGACAAAACGTATAGGGGAACGGAGAGTATTACCGTACGGCGTCTAATTTCGTACAGTCAAGTTTGAAAGGAATGAAACGTCAGAAAGCTACCGTTCCTTGTTGCACACGTCGGGTTTGTTGGGTTAACTGTCACAACAACCGTTCGCGCCATTCAGTGTTCAAACATGGCGGCGAGAGCATGATCTGTGTTTTTGCGATCGTGGATATAATATTTTACCTTCGAAAACTTAATTGTAAGTACTTTAATATGTGTATACGTGTTGTTTTTATTGTTAAAATTGTTGAACAATATTGTTTTTTAATGAAATAAGTTGTTTTCGTTGTAATAATATCATCCGCTTTCGCATGATTCTGCTTAAACATGGAGGATAGTATGTCGGCAAAGTGCGTACACGTGTACGGTATTTGCCGCATCGAAATAATCAGTTCACGAAAAATATTAAAATTGTTTTTGAAATTGTTCCAGTACATAATTGTATCATTTTGACCCTCAGGTCTTTGATATTAGGAAATAAAAACTTTATTTACAGATGGAGCCTAAAAAGAAGTGCTCTTGGTCGCCCAGAAAAATGAAAAGTGCAATAAGGGACATTCGTGGTGGAGCAAAGTTGAGGCCGACAGCTGCTTTGTATGGTATTCCTGTTATGACATTATCTGATTACTCAAAAAGGGACAGCTATGATCTTTCATTTCGCATGGGAAGAAAATCCGTTTTCTCTCGTGAACAGGAGACAGAAATTAGAGATCAAATATTACTTCTGGCAAGTATGTTTTATGGATTGACGCCACAATCATTGAAAGCAGCAGTTTTTACATATGCGGAGTCTAACAAAATTAAAAATCCTTCCAATAAAGATAAAAAAGAAGCTGGTAAAGACTGGATGTATGGGTTTTTAAAAAGGAATCCTGAAATAAGCATCAGACGCCCGGAACCTACCAGCGTAAATAGAATTCTTGCCTTTAATGCCACAGAGGTACAGATATTCTTTGATAATCTGTCATCAACATACGACAAATATAAATTTCGTCCTCATAGAATATTTAATGTTGATGAAACAGGCATCAACGCTGTTCACAAACCAGGTAAAATACTTGCTCCTAAAGGGATTAAGCAAGTAGGATCTGCCACAAGTTGGGAGCGTGGGAAGAATATTACTATTTGTTGCTGCATTAGCGCAACTGGCCAGTATGTTCCACCACTTATTATATATCCTCGGTTGAGAATGCATCCGTCACTAGAGCAAGGAGGTCCAAACGGTTCAAGTTATAGATGTAATAAGTCAGGGTGGATGACTGAAGAATTGTTCTATGCATGGCTAGTGCATTTTGCGGAACATACAAAACCCTCATTGGAAGACCCGGTATTACTGATCCTAGATAATCACAGTAGTCATATTTCTCTGAGAATTTACGATTTTTGTCGCCAAAATGGCATTATTATGTTGACAATACCGCCTCATACGTCGCACAGGACCCAACCCCTGGATATTACAGTTTACAGTCCCTTGAAAACAGCTTTACATAAAGAATGTGATGCCTATATGAAACTCCATCAATATGAGAAACTAACGCCACTGCAATTGATTCCACTGTTCACTCAAGCGTATTTGAATGTAGCTAATGCAGAAAAAGCACTTAGTGGTTTCCGAGCATCAGGCATTTGGCCCTTCAATCCAAACGTTTTCAGTCAATTGATACAAGAAGGAAATGATAACGCTTCTGACAGGATTTCCGCAGAACAGGCTATTGTCGATATAAGGATGGAGTCTGAAAATGTGGAAGCATCATCTGCTTTACTAGACATTCCGATGGATTTTAATGAGAGGTCATATTTAGTACCTACAAATACAGAACCAAATGAATCCGCTGATGACTCACGCCCTTCAACATCAGGAATTCAAAATTCGTTACTTTTTGAAAATCCAGAACCAGAGATAGCTCATAATTCACTTCCGTCAAAATCTGCAACTCAGACAGAAATTGAGCATGCCAAACGACAACTTTTTGTGACTCCTGAGGGAAATAAAACACCTGAACACGTAATACCTTTTAGTGAAATATCACCAGCTCCTGAAAAGAAACACATTTCAAAAGGGAAAGGTATAGGTAAACGGACCAAACAACAATCAAAATTACTTACTTCGACGCCTATGAAATCTGTTTTAGAAAAAATTGAGGAAAAACGAGTCGCCAAAAAGAAGAAACTAGAGGAACACTCTGAGACTATGACAAAAAAACTTAAAAAGAGGAAAAATAAAAAAAGTTTTAAAAAACAAATGATAAAGGAGAGTTCATCATCTTCTGATGAAGATCTACATGTTCTATGTGATGATGAAGAAGAGTTAGATGATGATTTTTCTGAAGGAAGGGGAGGTGAGACAGGTGTCGAGGAACTATGCGTTATTTGTGGTGATTTCGGGAAGGATTACGAATTGTGGTACAGGTGCGTCAGCTGTGGTAGCTGGTCGCACGCTTTATGTTCCGGATATGATTCTGCAGTTAATTATTTTTGTGGATTTTGTATGTAAAGACAGGAAAACGTTTATGATTTATGTTAGAAGTTCATTACCGTTTATTTTGAGTTAAATATATTTCTGTTAAATTATGATTTTCAGTTTTTTTACACTAATGAAACGGATGGCATATACGAGGATGTGTGTACGAAATTAGACGACTACATGTACGGCGTTACCCGCTTGATTCGGTTAATGCCGTACAAAGACTGCTTTCAATTGGAGTGCTCTATCTGGTATAATTGTGACTTTTATTTTCTGTCGTTAAGCATATATATAATAGGCCTAATTATTAGCAAATTCAAATCGATAATTATCTTTTTTGATGAATACTTGAGTAACAAGGACATTTTATAGTTATGTGTAGGGCAATACCCTCCGTTCCCCTACACGTATGCTGCTCTATGCGTGGTGTGTTACTTGTATACATACAATTTCATTTATGTTTTGTGTCCATAAACCCCCATTGTAGTTTACGTTTGGTGTTTATAGTGATTCTCTGAATGATAATGATTATAGTAAACGTATGTGCCAAATATAATAACGTAATCGAAAATAGAAAACAGATATAACTTTCTGCAAAAAAAAGAAAACTTGAAACAGATAGCAAGTGACGCTCCAATTTAGGTCATCAATATGAAAAGTATATTTTCTTGTAGTTCAACTGGAATTACCTCTGCTATGAAAAAAACATTGTAATTTTTTAGTTTTAAGTGAAAAGTCCAATTAGTTTCTCTATAAATTCGTAGGGCTTGCCATAAACTGTTCTATTGATTTTCAAAATAACATTCATTTTGTTGAATACACCCTGCCAGATGCAGCAACCAATCATTAATCAAGCAATCAGTGCTCCCATTGATCCTTCTAGATAGAATCGCAACGATCCCAGCTCATATCCTAATGCAAGCTTACGTTCTTTTCGCTGTGACTTCGTAAACGCAAGAAGTGAGTGACTCAAGACCTGGATTTTAGATTCTTGAAAATTCGGCGTCAAGTAGATTGGCTTTGAACTCCCCACACAACTAAAGTCGTATTTTTAATAAATGTTTTAAGTTGACCGAATCTCAAGAATGTTCAACTTGAATTGATATCAACCGCCAGGAATACAAAACTGCAAAATTATGGATTTTGTATACGCATCTTACAGCAGGGGCTTAATTCTAAATTAGTTTCGACCGATTGAAATTATCATAGCTATTCAAGTATATCGTCACAAGGCGCCATTGAAATCAATTTCAACGGTCGACACTCATTTAGAATCTACCCCTTGGTCATGTAATATAATGAATATGATCGGAGAAACAGTATTGTGAGATTAATTCTTTTTGAAATAATCGAAGACAACTTTCGAATGCCCTTATATTATTTGCTCGAAGAAAAGATACTTAAAATAGATAAGAGTCTTCCTTCCAAAGAATATCTTCGTATTCGCAGAAGAGTGGTGAACGTCTATTCGTTATCTCACACCTGAATAACCACAGCCCTATTGTATTCACCGTATCTGATTTATATGCAATAAATTATATTGCTCTGGTAGTCGCAGATTATATCGCCTAGGCATCGTTGACCTTTTGTCAGCTGTCCAGGAAAATTCGTCGCGTGGGTTGCGAGCATCCGCTAATGCGCTTTATATACAAAAGGTTTCTATGATTCTAAGCTTTAAGGGTAAATATACTGCGTAATATAATTATGTGTAAAATATGCCTATAAAGTGCATAGAATTACAGGCGTCAGACGTTTATAAACATACGTCCTAAACAAAATTGCGATACACCCTCTTCCAGCACTTGTTCCCCCATTATATCGATTTACAAAAACTTCAAAGCTTTTTTGAGTGAAAATTTCATCAAAATCCGATCGGTTTAGTTTTAACTTATAGACACGCCAAGGCTTAGCGGACAGACAGACAGACAGACAGAAATCAGACATGTTTTTTCGTGATGTACATGTCATATAGCATCCATTTTCGAAACTTTACAATACCTCCTCTGCCAGTTAGTCGTGGGAAGTAAAATATGTTTTTCATAAGAACTCGTGGCATTATTGCTTGCACTCTATATGCATACGAGTGACTGATATTCTATTATGGAACACCCTATAGCAGAATACTACAAATATTTTTTGTTTCAGCTTCGCAAGTCTGATAAATCAAACATTCACTGTGAGTATGGTGGTATACGTCGGAAATATCGTGAGCCTTCTTTGCATTTACATGTATCATTTATCTATTATGTAAGTAAAAATGATCCTACAGTTACGATGACGCAAATGCTGTTATCTGCCATCACTAAAGCCATCACAGCGTCAGCTTACCGCAAAAACAAGATAATTCCATTTCTCTGCCATTTGAGCTGAGTACATTTTCACACTTGTACCCGTTTCGGATAAAACTGTTAGTTTGTGTCTCCTCATATTTGAATAAAATTATCATGCCACTACCTACCCGATTTATAAAGTGTTGGCAACGATGTAAATGTCAGTTACTAAAAACTTCGTTTTGAGAATAATCTGGTTCTTGTGGTAGTCCGACGACAGGCACATTTATGGACTTATAACTATAAACTGCTTCCAGGACTACCCCAAATATCTACACCATCAGAGATTTTTTTGTACTACTGTTGACTCTGTATGGCTTTGTAATATGCTATTGTTGGCCCGCACAAAATTTTGCAGATGAGGTATGTTTGCATTGTGTTTATCCGTTTGTACTAATTTCGTTGGATGTTGGATATAGGGCCGCGCCGCTGATCCCTTTGCAGATACTTGTTTGATAAGTAGTGTTGTGATCTCAATAGGGTACGACAGCAAAATATTAACTTGTTGTCAAACTGTTTTGACGTTACGTGCTTTATGGTTCATGTGTGGCAAGAATTTTAACACAAATGCATCCTGTTGGGCAAAATACCTGCAAGAAAGGGTATGCCGCTCACTGGAGTTCAAAATATTGAAACGACTGTTAAAGTGTGTCCAGATTCTCATGATATAGTCAATAAATGAATGAACGCATAGACCACAGACGGGTCCTTCCCTTCTCTGAACCTCAAGCCCCAGCCTTCTAGCAAAGTTGAGTATAGCCTTGTATCCCAGCTCCTCGACGTTCTGGGAATTCAAGGTGACGGACTCCAGTATAGTCTGCTTGTAGTAGCTCAGAGTCTAACAGCGACACAGAACATGCGCTGTCTCTTCCTCTACCCCGCAGCGCTTATACAAGGGATCCTCAACGACCCCATCACATTCAGGTGACGCCTCAACGTGTTATGGCCAGATAACAGTACCACCTGCAACCCCAGCAACCTTAGGTTGGCTCTGTCCAAAGATAAACAAAAAAGTACGTCCTTAGCACCGGGCCCAACGATGAGTTTCCATGCCTGACGGAGACGTCTAGAGATGCTTATCCATTTATGAGAGTATTGTCCTGCAATCCACTTCTCCATGTTCGTCCTCACTGTTTGCGCGGGCACCTCCGACGCTAGCTCAGGACCAACGAATTTGATCGCTGATCCTACGTTCGTAAGAGCGTCAGCCATATCATTCCTTTTTATCCCAGCGTGCCCCGGTACCTCACACTAACGATACCGGATGACTCGCTGCTAGACCATCGATAGCATCCCTTCATTGCAATATAAGACTCGAGGTAATCTTGCGGACTCTTAGTGCCTTCATTGCAGGCTGGCTGTCGGAGAAAATTGTTATTCTTCTCCTAGACCCTTCCCCTCCAAAATACGGGATACGAGAAAATAGTGGTGTGTCCACCGAGAGGCAGAGATAGCCTAGTTATAGGCCCAAAGACTCCGGCACCAGAGTTCTCTCAAGTGACCGAGCCATCCGTGTACCAGACCTGCCCACTCCCTTCGAAGACCTTTCGGCTTCCGGAGTCCCACTCCGCCCTAGTTAGATACTCCACATTAAACTTGCGATTGAAGTCATATTTAGGGGCGATCAGATCATCACGGCTTAGAAGAACAGGATCCTCCCTTGGCAGCTTGACTAAGATCGCAGTGTGTCCTTTGATAGGATTCAAAAAGGCACAGCTACCTTGACTCCACAGTCGATGTGCGACTATTCTCGCCTGTCCGCGTATCACTAGATCCAACGGTGGGAGATCCAGCAGAGCTTCCATTGCACTCAGTGAAGTTGTTCGCATTGAGCTTCTAATAGTGATGTGCTGAATTTTATTGAATTTGGCCTTAGTTCCTTAGTTGTCTCGGTTCCAATGCAAGGCTGTTTAAGAGAGATGGACGTTATGATATAGTAAAACGCCAGTCTCGAGATCTTAAGTGTATAAGGCCGATTAAGACCACACATCGGTGGGCCACCTTTAGTAGCATCGAGTGACCAAACCTCAAAAATGTACATGATATGGTGTTACAAGATGGACGTGTAGAATGCGGTAAGAGTATTCGCCAGATCTGCCCCCCCCCCCAATAATCTGAGCCTAATACCAACATCAAAAGAACATCCACGAGAAACAAATTTTTCAAGTAATTAACATGTGATATATGTGGTAGAGGAGTGGTTTTAGCAGCCAGACAAACTATTGTTGCTGAAATACTGTAGCACAAATGACAAATTGAACAAGTGTGTTAACGTTTCTATGTTTGTGGGGGTGATGTAGAGTAATAAAACTTATAGGTCAAGTGTAGCCTTATTGCAAGTACAAATACAACCCTCGTATTTTCATAACTCAAAAAGGCATGGTCATGGAAAGAAAAAGTACTTTCGAACACAAATTTTTAACAACGTTCATTTTTTTAGTTTCGAATTTTCCAACAGTTTTTTCATAGGATTCAGAGTTTTGAGCAGTTTACGGTGAGTTCGAAAACAACAGCCCAAGGACAAGTAGTGGAGCCTATTGATAATCAATAGTTGCGTTTGTTTTACAGATAACCTCAGATACGAGGTCAGTAAATTAAGTAATGATACTGGTAACGTAGCGTTCGATCTTGGAGGGGAGATAGAGGAACATATGATCCGCCTTCAGTACAAGTTTGAATTCGCTCGAGTCATTTGGTTGTCCATCGCGCTTTTTTTTGTAAAACAGTTTTTTCTATTGTGTCCTGAAAATGAGTGACATCAATTTCGACCAACGGTGTGCCATCAGGTTTTTCTTCAGAGTTGGGCACAGTGCAGTGAAAACTCTTGTTAGACTTCAGCAGGCCTATAAATACAGTGTTTTGTCAGGTTTTGCTAGGGCTTAAGGCACTTTCAGAAGGAAGAAAGTCGATTGAAGATGAACTACGAAGCGGAAGGCCTTCATCTTCAAGAACCGATGAAAATATCGACAGATTCTGGGATCTTGTGCGCTCAAATTGTCGGTTGATCGGGGAAGAGTTAACTTTGACTCACACCACCGTTCATCATATTTTAACCAGTGAATTGGAGATGAGACAAATCTGCGCAAAAATGGTTCCAAAAAACCTTTTGCGAGATCAAAAGGACATCGGAAAACAAAAGTGCCTTGACTTTTTGATGCGATGGATAATGATCCGCATTTTCTGGAACGTGGCGTTACTAGCGACGAGTCTTGCGTGTTTGAGTACGACTCAGAAACCAAGCGCTTGAGCATGGAGTAGCACACTTCAACCTCTCCATGCTGATTTGTTTCTTCGATATGCGAATCGTCTACAAAGACTTTCTACCTCAAGGCCAAACGGTCGATCAACACTTTTACCGGAAGGTTCTTGAACAACTTCGGAAAAGGGTAGTTCGTGTGGGACCAAATATCCTTGTCACACAGAAATGTCCTTATTCGCCTGACTTTTTTTTCTTCCCGAAGCTGAAAAATCACCTGAAGGAATTCATTTTTTGACAGTCAGTATCATATTTCCAGCACTGCTATGAGCGGCGGAAGAACCGTCTCCAGCGCTGTCAGCCTTCAGAAGGAAGTTATTTTGAGGGTGGAAAAATTATTTAATTTACAGACCCTGTACACTCACCTCACTTCCGTTTGATCAATTTGTTGCACGTTAATCTTACCAAAACTCAATTTAAATGAGGTGAAATATCTTTCTCTGTCCCCCCTCCTCATCTTACCCCGACTGCACTTGCAGCGTTTACGTTAAGTTTATCTTCTTCATGTACAAAATCCACCAAATAGTTATTGTGATTTTTTGCACTTTGCTAACAAGGATGCAATCCATATCAGCAACTGGAAAAAACGTTTGGTCTTGAATGTTTAAAGTTTTTGAACTCTGATGTGAACCAGATGTTGATTGATGTAACAGCCCCATCTACGTTTGGACTGTCTCACTTCACTTACAAAATGAACGCAACTAATGATTCCGACATTTGAGCAGCGCCACTTGTCGTCACCTTTGGACATCTCCTACCATATTTACACCGTAGGTCGACAGGCGACCACAAAACATTAAACTAATTTCTAGACGTGTCAAAAATGTTTGTGTCTTACCACTCGATCAGTGGAAGTTATTTATATGCTTGTTTTCAAGTTTTCAGTAACCTTACAGCAACATCTTTGGCCACGGAATACTTTAAAATCGTTTTCTCAAGTTTCTTGAAACGGACCATTTTTAATCCGACAGAAGGCCTTCGCATAAACCGTATGCCGTAATTAGTAACGCATTGTAAATAAGGACGGATTCAGGAAAGTCGTGGAGGCATGATCTCAATGGTCGATTCAAGATGGACTATCTTGCCCTCCCTCTTCAATTACTATAATGGCATTCGCTCTCAAAAGGCCTGGTGCAGCGGCTGCCTAAACCCCCACCCCCTTCCCCTCTGAGACAAACATGTGACCCCTGTCTAACAAAAAACGCTGGATCCGCCCTTGACTATAATGTCAGGTATTACACTATTTGGTTGTTTTAGAATGAAAATATCAGAAACTTTGTTCTGTGTACTCTTCAAACTGGTATGAATATTTATCCCATCTGACAAAAAGGCAGATAAGGGTGATAAGGGTATAACAGATGTTGCATAATTCCATTGTTTCAGAATGAAAAAATCAGAGACTCCGTCTACTCTTCAAACTGGTATGAATATTTGAGGTTTTCAAAACCTATCCTGATGATAATGAAGAGGTTAGAATTGAAGGTTTCAATATCAGCGGGCGGTATAGCTAATATCAATTTAGAAACATGCTTGAAGGTAAGGAGTAATAACTTTATGCTGATTTATTTTACTGATGTAGGTACATAAAACTCACTGTGAAAGTGTATTAACATTTTTACGATGTCATATTCATGCACGTGATTCATATATCAGCGTCGTATTTGAAGACGAATCTAGTTCATGGCGCACTGGAAACGACAAAGTAGTGGTATACATGGTGTTTAGAAACGAGAAGGTGAAAATACAAGTGGTGATTCTGTAGGTTATTCGAATGCTACCTTGTCATTTGATGATTTTCAAGGTACAGCTTTGTTTCGGAGTGAGGCCAGTAGAGAATACCTGTGATTTTTTTAATAACTTATTTATACGAACCGCGTCAAACGTATCAATCATTTTCCATGAGAGCTTGGACTCACAAAATGAATACAAAAATACAAGCGACGAATATGAATGTTTTAAGCAAAATTTTCATTTTTATTTTTTCATATTGCAGGACTTGTAATGTCACGTATTCCTGTTAAGGGGTGATAGTTTAGGTGAAAAGCAACCGATTTTGTCCTATCATGGCTTATCCAAAAGTTAACCATTTTTGAGTTATTTTAATTTTAAGTTTATTATTTTTTATTCCGATTTCAGACGGTTAAAATTGAAATACAAAAAAACTGCATGCTTGATTTTGAGTTTTTTGTTATCGTCACATAGCAGACATTCCAATAGTTGATAATAAGTAATAAAATGTTGAAAAGCTACAAACGTTTTAAAATTACGCTTTTTAAATATATCATTTTCTTTTTTTTACTAACTTTTTCGATGAAAAATACAATTTTCTGGACGAGGAAGCGAGCGAGAAGAGCTGACTTAGTGGAGGAGTGAGAGAGAGAGAGCTATTATTATTCATCATTGTAGTTACGCCATCGGCGCACGCCGAGTGAGAATTAGGTTTAGTTGGTATCAACTAATGCGTACGCGCACACGTTTTACGCACGATTATTATTTTCGAGTTTCCCAGTTCCTTTCGAGTGGTTTCTTTATCATCATGGCAGACGCAGAAGGTCCGCCAAGATCTCGCCATAGCGAGCACGGGCAAACTTTTACAAATGAAGAATACGCAGACATAATGTTCTGTTATGGACTTTGTAACGGCGATTCTGCAGCTGCCCGCCGTGAATATCGGCAACGTTTCCCGAATCGCCGAACACCTCATGTTACTGTGTATCGGCGCATCCGCCAAACCGGACGTGTTCAAAGGCAATATAGTGATGCTGGTCGACCCCAAGTTTATCCTCCTGAAGATGAAGAGGAAATCCTTCGTGTGTTTCAGGAAGACCCTACCACGTCTACGCTCATTGCGGCTGCTCAGTTGGGTATATCACAATACAAAGTATGGTTTACTGTGCATACTGCAAGATTATTCCCTTAACACTACACGCCTGTGCATGTGATTGAGAGGGCGATCCTGCAAGGCGATTAGATTTCTGCAGGTATATGTTACATGCAGATACAGAAGATCCAGTCTATTTTAAGAAAACTCTGTGGACCGATGAATCGAAGTTTGATAAGGACGGGATCACTAACTACCATAATGCTCATTACTGGGCTGATAAAGAAGCTTTGAACCCCCGAAAAATAAGACCGACGGGGTCTCAGAGCCGGTTTTCAGTCAATGTGTGGATGGGCATCATTGATGGATATTTAGTTGGACCTAATTTTCTGCCCGCCAACTTAAATGGAGAAGTGTATGAAGAGTTCTTGATAAATCACTTGTTTCCATTAATGGAAGACGTCCCATTGGCGACGAGACAAAATATGCGGTTCCAGCACGACAGCTGTCCCGCACACTACAGTAGATTAGTACGGACGTATTTAGACCCTAAATTTCCAAATCAATGGATTGGCAGAGGCGGGCCTATTGCCTGGCCAGCAAGAAGCCCAGATCTCACACCGATGAATTACTATGTGTGTGGGGACATATGAAAAGCCTGGTGTACGATGTTTCGCCCGTATCAACGCGCGATGAATTAATTACAAGGATAATCAGTGCAGCTGACCAAATAAAAAGCCGCTTAACAGCTAGAGTTACCAAAAGTGAATGAAGAGAATGCGGGCGTGTATTCGTAACAGGGGATTACAATTTGAGCAGAATCTGTAAAATACTAAAGGAAATAAAACTGTAATTAAAATAAAAGCCTTTTATTTATCCTACGTGATTATCGTTCGTACAACTTTACGCATCTTTTTTTAATTTTATGTCTTTGTACTTGAGTTAGTTGTAACTTTTATACCTCACATGAAAGCTTGTCAGATAGAGATATTATTTACATAACTTGCACATTTTATTACTAGGAGGTTTTTTACAGAAAATTATATTTTTATCGTAAAAAAATAAGAAAATCATACATTTCAAAAGCGTAATTTTAAAACTTTTGTATGTTTTCAACATTGTCTTACTTATTATGAACTATTGTAATGTCCGCTATGCGAAGATAACAAAAAACTCAAAATCAAACATGTAGTTTTTTTGTATTTCAAATTTAATCGTCTGAAATCGGAATAAAAAATACAAAAAATAAAATTCAAATAACTCAAAAACGGTTAACTTCTGGATGGACATTATAGGACAAAATCGGTTGCTTTTGACCTAATCTATCACCCCTTAACAGGAATACGTGACATTACAAGCCACCCTGATTTCAGTTGGATGTTTTTGTGAAATCAATTTGTATGTGTTCTGGGACCTTCTTGCTAAACACTTGGTAACGAGTTCAATTTCAACAGAATTGTATCTACGGCGACAGCGTCATAGTACATCTAAAATAGGCCAAATTGCAATATTTTCAGGAAATCCAGAAGAATTCTTTTTCATTTTTTCTGGGTATATCCTACGTCAGTTTGTGTGTTCGCTTTAAAGCAATCAAGATTAGTCAAACCGGGAAAAATGTGGTTAAATGGAACAATATTTATTTTAAGTTCTCTATTTAAAAATTCCAATACATTCGTCCTTTCGTTATACGCCGATATAGTGCGTTCTCCAACGTAAACACAAGTGCTGATGCGATCGGCAATTTTTGTGATTGTCACGCCTTTTTTATAATCAATATCCTGATCAATGTAATGTAGTAAGCCCAAAACTATATATATATAATATGATGTATAAAATACCCAATTAAAATGATATTTTACCTGTTCAAATCAGGGTTTTTTGTCAAGGGGAAGGGGTGGCTTCTAGCAAAATCGGCTGCGAAACAGCTATACGGCAGCTACAAAACAAAGCTGGTGGAGTGTAAATAGTGATTCTCCGCAATGCCTTTCTACTAAAAGGAAGCAGATATCTTCAGAACGTGCATTAAAGGACGTGGTCAGATGGTATACAAACAAGAACTTACCGCTGAAGGTTAAATTCCCATAAGAAACTGGACGAGGTATCACCCAAACCAAAACAACTAAATGTAGGGTACAAAATAAAGGATGCTACTCCATAATCTTGTGTTTGGGACGTTGATATCCCAGAATCTGAAAATAAATTATTACCAACGAAACGACCCACGCACAACCAAAACCTCAACGGAAAGAAGAAAAGAAAATAGCAATGGACCCGTCTGTACGCGCAATTTTTTAAAAACAAGGTATCTTGATAGGAAGTCAAATATTCCATACAGCGTTTTAAAAGGAGGTATCTTGATAGGGAGGCAAATATTCCTATACGGCTAGTACGTGCAGAAATCACAAGGTGGCGCTGGTTGCCAATGAGTGGAACCAACTCTACGAGGGACCAAAGATATTTTATGAGGAAATTTTTGAGATAGTCATTAATAATACTATAGCATTAGTGTCCAAAATATTTCAACACAGTACTGAATCGCTGAGAAATAAAGATAAAATACGTGTGAAATTATACAATCAATAAACTATGAAATTTGCCAAAGAAAATCATTAAAAAGTGTTTGGCCTAGGAATGGGCACTCTACCATTAATAATGAGAAATTCAAATTAGTGGCAAGTGATTAAAATAGTAAAAAAAGGTTACGTGTTTTTGGCACGTGACATGATATAAACTAGATGCAAGAAATCGTAACTACAAAGTAATTTTGGAAAGTAAATGGAAATTTTGGAATTGCAGTTTGGGAAGACAAGAAACGACCACTCATAAACCTTATAGGAAATGGTTTTCAGGTATTTTTTTAACTATATTGTTGTATATTGCTACAAATAGAACAAAAGTGTCCATGAGCTCAAAGTCTTACCACGAGTAGTTTGCGAGATACAGGGCGTCCAAGCTGAGTAGTCGATATCCTGTTCCAGCTTATGGTGGGTTCGGTACACGATATTGTAATACTTGTTCGATATTTATTTATATTTTTGTCATCATCCCAACTGATCGATATACCACCATTGTAATCCTATCTCATGTACAGGACCGACCAAACTAGATGGAGTATTGGTCCAAAACACAAACCTTTTCAAAAATTGCTCAAGATTATCACGCACCGTTCATGTAGGAAAACATTTCAAAAATGTTTTTACTTGACGTTCGCTAACACGAGTGGTTGGCATCTTCAGAAGGTGTCACAGTTCGGAGTCCTGTGATTTTTTTTTATATTTTTATGATAAATATTGTGACTTGGCCTATCCCAGATTTCTGGCTTGAGATCGACTTCTGGGACACTATATTTACTCGTAGATAGACCTTAATAGCTCTGCGTTTTGTCAGTATTTTTTTAGATATCACATATATGCCTAAAAAACATGAAAATATATCATAATGTTTACAAGGTGACTTATTTGAACGTTTTAAGGAAGAATGAATTATGTTTTTGATGAGTTTGTGCAATTAATTGACTCAAACAATTCCAGGCTTGGGCAAGCTAGGTAGCAAGTGAAGAGTATAAGATCCAAATATGTAATAATACTATGGCTAGTTTTAAAAAAATCAAGTTTGTGATGCTGATCATTAGTCGAACACCCTGTGTAATCATGGAAATTTTGGAAATGCACTCTCACAGCAACATTGCAGGATAGTCGTGAATAGTTTTTGATTA